TATATATATATATATACATATATATATATATATATATATATACTTTCAATTTCAACCGAGTCCGGGTAGTTTTAATTCATCTCATGGACAGTGTCCACCCTAGGCCTCTTATTTCTAGCCCTTTTGACTCAAATGGTAAAACTTTGTTAGCCCCTCAATAATGGATTGAGGGTTCTAATGAATCAACTAAATTTAGAACTTTTCCCATATTCTTTATTAGTTATTTCCCGGGGGGACTCTAATCATCGTACAATTTGTTAATGGAAATGAGATGGATTAGCCTACCTTTTTAGATGGATCAATGAAACTTCGAACAAAATCGATGAGAGTCTCCTGACCTTCTTCCTAGAAAATCAAATGCAAGATTAATTGTGTACATCTGCAACTTCTCCAGATGAATCAACTATTATATGTATGTGTATTTACTTTTGCTTTACAACAGAGTTCGTGGATTTCTTCTTTGAAGTCATTAAACCGGTCATGAAATAGAGCCATTGCCCAAGGCTCTTCAAAGAATCTGTGATAAATGAATAATTGTTAGTACATTTTAAAATACTTACGAATAGAAATCTTCAATTAGCTTTTCTTCATAACGAGATACTAGATTATTCACCAGCTTCTCGTTTGTTGAGTATAAGTTAAAGTAATTCGATATGGGAATCGACTAAAACACAGTTAAAGTGAGACACAACACTAGAATTGATGACTGCATCTTGTACAATGAGGAAGTAATCCTACCTTTCTAGAAAGGCAAACAATACGATCGATTCGTTTGAGGTCGTTAATATGAATGTGGAAATAGTCAAATTCTTGATCTGGACCTCCAGTAACCAGAGTGTTCCTCTATAAGCAAAGGAAGGTAAAGTTAATTTAGCTAAAAGTTTAGCATTAGGCTTTCCATCTTCTTACTAAGTCGGGACCAATCAGTCTTAGAAGGTAGTTCCGTTTGTATCCAGGAGGCCAGATATGCAAATAGTTATAATCTCCTGGAAGTTTGGCATGGACAAGGCGGGGCATCTTGAATTGTGGTAGGAGATGAGATTCATCCTTAAGGGGTTCTCTAGGTCTCTCAGTACTGGGATCGAATTCTTTAAGGAAGGATTCTCCTAACTGAAGTAAATCATTACTATTAACATCATAATATTGGAATCTCTCAAAAAGCTTTAAAGATATAAATTACCTTCTCACCGATTTCGAGGCTGTTAAATAAGCTATGCGTGAACTTGTCATTGTACAAAATTCTGGGATATTTTGTGGCCGGTCCAGCAGCTCGGATGCAGGGATCACTGGTGCGGAAGTTGTCGTCAATGACCAGACGCTTGTCAAATACCAAACATGCATCATTGACAGCTAGACATTCAGAAATATGAGAATGAGTCTAAGCATAGAATTTCTCTTTACCAAAGCAAAAGCACAGACGTATCGTTTTGTTTTAATCTGTCTTAACATAATCAACATTTTAAAACCACATTAAGGTTTTTGCAATGAGTTAGAGCAAATTAGGCAGTAAATTTATTTTAATCGTCAAATGAAGTGCTGAAAATTACCAATCTATGTGATATTCACTAATGGTTTAGTGTTAAAAGAATAAAATCAATTACATCCATCTGCATTATTTTCAAAAGTTGACAGTGAATTTAGGTGTGAAGTTCCAAACGCTGATTATGATAGAGCTACATTTAACTTCCAATTTAACAGCCATCCTGATTTTAAAAGCTCACACCTAATTTGAGATTATTTTTAAGTAAGTGATGAATGAGAAGATGCCATGGATTTTGATTCCACTGGTACTTAAAAATACCGTTAAACGATTTAACGTTCTGGCCTAGCTTCGTATTAAAAACATCAGGTTTAGTCTTGTTTGCTTGAAAACAGACGATTTCAAGTACCTACCTTTTCCTTAAGAACGAAAAAAGTTGTCTGTTAGTTGCTCAGATGGACAAGCTTGCTGGCCTTTCTGGTAAACAATAGAAACCAGTAACAATGAGGAGTAACTTTAATATCGATTTATAAAATCAGTTAGCGACATAAAACGACGGCGTTTAGTTAAATTGAAAAGACAAACCGCCTAAATGAGTCTTATAAGCGTCAGAAAATTCTAGAAAGTGTGGTCGAGGGGGCAGCAGCCTCTCAGTCAATTAATAAACAAGTTGATGCAACGCTGACTAACGGTGCTTGCACTTAAAAGCTAAGCATGCTCGTAATTTTCCTAATTTATGGAATAAACGTTTTTCATTTTGCACTTTCCGTGCACTTGCCACTTCAAAAACAAGACCTAAGTAAATTTGAGGGCAAAATTTATGTGAGAGAATTTAATCAACGAAGATTGTGTTAGGGTTTAATCGAGGCTTATTTGTGTAGCATTCATTACAATCACACGCTGGAAAATGCATTTTTATAAGTCTTGGCTATTTTTGGTGTGATTTAAATAAGAAGATTTGTTTTACCCTTAAAGAAGTCGTAGTCGATTTTCTTGTCCGTGAATGGGAAGAAAGCCTAAAATGAATCAGAATTATTAATTTACGTAATTAGTTTCATGTAATCTGATTGACTTGCTTCCGGTTTTTGATAAAAATACTCAATGAAATTAAAGTTGACCCTTTTGAAGTTATCATAAAAAAACGAGCAATTTCTTTATTTGCCTAAAAGCAATTTACTTTAAATTACATTTAAGTTGGCCATATAATCGCATGGTGCGTTTCGCTCAAGATTTATTACCTAAAATGGCACTATGTATTAAAGTTTTGATGTCAATTACATTTTTTATTTCGATGGAAAACAAATAAATGTTCAACATGAGTTTTCTAAGATAGTTAATTAATTACTTTGGATAAAATTGATGTGCTTATTCTAAAAGGAACGAGTGATATTGACTTATAATGGTTAAAATTGAATAAACAATTTAATCGCATAATTATCTTAAGATAGGTTAATAACGTTCCCCAGTGTAAAGCAAATAAAAAATGAATTCGGATTTGGGAGAGGGAATAAACAAAGAGCACGGGGGTGGGGTGTGGGGGGGAGGGGTATTGGATAAGGAAAATATAAGAATTCTCAGAGTATCAAAAAACTTTTTAACTAAAAGTTAGGCTCCTTTATGTTGTCCGTGCGTTGCATAATTCAAATCTAGGTTTCATAGGATATTCACATTTTTAATGCTCATGCTTGTTGATTAAATCGAGTGCTTAGTCATGCCATCTCACTAGAACATTTTTAATGTTCTATAGAGGGGGGGGGGTGTGCGATAAGCTTACCTCCACGTGGTGCACCCTGGGCAACGTATACTCATACGGCTAAAAGGTTTATTACCTGGCAGTTGACTTCAAACTACCATGACCCCACTGTATGTCATATTCGACCACTTCCACAGTACTCTCCTCACCTTTTTCCTACCTTTGTGTCTGTCTCTTTTACATCTCTGAAACACTGTTCTGTTCCCCCCAACCAACTCGACTTTTTTTCACTTTGATGTTCCATCCCGGAAAGAGAAGCTAATTCTAAAATTGGCAAAGGTTGGTATTAAGCATAACATGCTAAACTGGATAAAAGCATTCATTGGGCAAAGATCATGTAAAGTCAGATACGGAAATGCTCTATCAAAATCCAATCTTTTACAAACAGGCCTTCCACAGGGAACTGTCACAAGCTGCTCTCTTTTCAATGTCTTCATCAATGACGTAGCCGAATTGGTACAGACAGTCACGGGCATCAAGTGCTTACTTTATGCGGATGATCTGGTACTATGGTATTCCACCCCTAAGAAAAACGCTCAAGAGAGGACAGAAAGTGCTCTTAATAGTGCACTTAAACTGCTAGCAAACTGGTGCGACAACAATGGAATGGTAATCAACACCGCAAAAACTGCATTCCAAACATTTTCTTTGGCCCATCACAGCATAAACCCGCATCTAAGGTACAAGGATACTACCAGAGAAAAAACCAATGAGTTCACTTATCTCGGAATGACGTTTGACACTAAGCTAACGTGGAAAAGTCACATTGCTAAAATAGCAGAATGCGTCTCCAATAGACTGAATGTACTGAAGCGTCTTGGTGGTAGCGTATGGGGCTGTGCACGCTCAATTCTCAACACCACTTACAAGATGTTTATTCAGCCAATAATGTTGTATTGCTGTGAGCCACTCATTACAGCCACAGAGGTGACTATCAAACCCCTCGAGAAGGCACACAACCAAGCATTACGACTAATTACTGGAGGGATAAAATCAACACCCATTGATGCAATGCTCCTAGTTACAGGAAGCACCACAATAGGTCCCCTTATCAAAGAAAAGGCCTTGATCCTGTATGAGAAGCTACTGCGCATTCCCATGGACAAGTTCTTCAGCACCTATGAGAATAGACCAAGACATCTGAAAACGCAATCTGGTCTAATACAGAAAGCCATAGNTCACCAAAGCGGTGATACTTTCGGACTCACAGTCAGCAATAGACTCTATTGGAAACAGAGAGACCCAAAACAGCTGAGATAAAGGAATACAGAAAACTCTATGAGCTGCTGAGAGAGAAAAACAAAACACTGGTCCTACAATGGATTCCTGGTCACTGTGGCATTAAAGGCAATGAGCTTGCTGACACACTTGCTAAGAAGGGGACAACGATTTTGCAATGCATGGACCGGCCGATGTCTTTCCACACAATGAAGGCCTTAATCGGGAGAGAATTCCAGACCTCAAGGTTCAACGAACTCAAAGCTCGAACAAAGGAGAAACAGTGGACAGTGGCACTCTCCGACATACCCGACTGGCCAAGAATCGAAGCCGTTGCTGAGTTTAGACTACGTACCGGACACGATTGCTTGGCAAAACACCTTCACAGATTGGGAGTATACACTCAACCCACATGCCCTCTATGTAACCTACAGGAGGAAATGGAGAAGACCCACCTGATTCGGTGTCCAGCTCTAAAGACAAGGACTGAAAGCCAAAAATACTGGGAAGCAAGAAGACAGCTAATGAATTGCTATTAATTAACTGTTATAAATGTACCCCCCCCCTTCTTGGGGGAAGCTGAAGTCAAAGATTAAGGGCTAATGATAAATATCATAAAGCCTGCCATTTGAAATAAATGTTCCATCCCCTCTGTGAAGCCTGAAGTCAAATAAAGGGCTAATGGTAACTGTTAAAACGCCTGCCATTTGATATAAATAAATAATTCATGGCGAGCTCTTCATAAATTAATGCGTTGCCAACAGACTTGTAGCCACAGCTACAATTAGCCCAGATTTAAAAGAACTTTTAGAGATAAGGTTGAAGTTCTTTACCTTCAAGATAGGCTATTTTTGCAAGACTATTTATACTGGCAGTTGAATTCTCACTTCAAACTATCATCACCTCACTCTATGCCGTATTCGACTATTTCCACAGTACTCACCTCACCTTTGTTCTACCTTTGTGTTTGTCTCTTACATCTTTGAAACACTCTTCTGTTCCTCCCTCCCTCTCGACTCTTTTTCACTTTGATTTTACTTCCCCTCTGTGAAGCCTCAAGTCAACTAAATGGCTAATGATTATCATCAAGACGCCTGTCATTTGATATAAATAAATAAATGTTCCATAGAGGTTGAATTATAATTGAGATTATAATTACAAAACATTAGAATGTACTAAAATTCATTTATGATAAACCCTGGCACTCTAATTAAATAATAGAATAAGCAGAAGTCAAATATGCTGGAAGCGAAGTAAAACTCACCACACATTGAACCCGTTTCTCGATTCCATCGAAAAGGAAAGTCGCACTTTCAATTTCATCAACATACAAGGCAGTTGGGTCATTATTCCAACAAAGTAGACGGCAATTCTTAAAAACACGCACTCCTCGACGTTCAATTTCCTTATGAACAGCTGATTCTACCGTTATGTCCTCAAACGGATTTGACGTAACATTGAAGACATCATCTTCTGCATCAAGAGACTAGAAATTAGAAAATGATGGCTTGACCATATTCTGTTTCGGACAGAAATTGAATAGAATTTTACAACGAAAGACTGTGTGAAAAAGCGAGTCCAAATTCGGATTGAACCACCTCTAGTTAATAATTCAATTAGCGCAAGAGTATTGATAAAGAAAAACTTAATTAACATTGGAAATCCATCTCCCAAACTCAATCTCGGACAACATTGCTATTGGCGTGATTAAATAGTTAATTGTTGTGCGAGTGAATCCACACCTGTGTTTATAAAATGAAATCAGTGTTAAAGACCCCAATCTCTATTAAACAAATATTAATATTATTTATCAAACATCAAAAGGCGCAAAATTTAATTGAGCCTATTGCAAAAAAAACCGTACAGAAAATTATGGAATTTAATATTTAAATATTATAACAGTAAATCGCGAGATTTTAGTGAACGTTAAGAGATTATATGAATGAAATCTATTAATAGCAATGTTTGTGGTTTTAACCCTTTTATCGAAAAAACGTCAAGAAAAATCACTTAGGGGGTTGGGGGTGGGGAGCTTGGCATAAATCTGAACTTTCTATGAAAGATATCAGTAAGTGGCTTGGCAATAAAGGTAAGCCAAAGGATGAACATTCTCACGACATGATTGTCACACTTTACCTTAAAGAGTAGATCCACATGGCAACTATTAATTATCCAGTCGAGAAGATATTTCAAGATCTAATGCGTAAGAGGAGGGAGGTTTGATTAGATTAGCTGAATTTTGCATCAATGATCGTGTCCCTTTACTGTCATTTTAAGCATTCACTACTAATTTCATTTTTAATTATTCTCATTCATGGGCTCATATTTTATTATTACATCGTTCATTTAAGAAGACTCCTTGTTACTGAACCAGCACAAGTACTAAGTACCTGATTACTAAAAAGCAGTTGGCCCAAAATAAGATATGTAAGTTTTGGCGTTTTCATCCGAGAAAATATTTATCCACACCAAATATTATTTAGAAAAAATTGATTTATTTCGAAAGTTGTAGTCACGGTGATTATTTTTATCTTGAGTATTAGGTAATGATAGCGATATTCTTAATTGAAGATATTCACTAAACAATTATAAAATAAGGCCACTATCCTTTTAGCTACATCTGAACAAAGAATATCCCCCCCCCTGAGACTTCCAACCAATGGGGATTTAACCTTGACAGTTATTGGTCAATTGGTCACTTTAACACGCACTCTTCTTGCAAGGTCATGGTATTCTTGAGCATAGTAGTTTTAAATGCCTTTAGCATAAAATCGGGCTTTCCGTCCTTGGAAGAACTCATTCATATTTAGTTGTTAAAAGTAAGGAAGAAATACTAGATGTACAATAAATACCCAGTTTCAACTTTGAAACCTCTTCACTATAATACGATACAAATTGCCGTAAACTATGTAAAGTTTTACCTAGATGCTGGAATTATAAGCAAATACTTATTCAAGTTTATCACCTCAAACGAGACTTCCACCGATTTTCATTTTATAATAGGGTTCTAATTCAGTAAATAAGGTAAGCACAATGGGTTTCCCCTTCTCAAAATCAGAGTTCAGTCAACTTACATCTATTTCCACGACTGGATGCAACAAAATAATACGGAAACCAGGAACACCCATTTGAAGTAGACCGTTCACACAGACATAGGCATCTAGACAATTTCCATACACGATTATTGGACCATTCTCTGGTTTAAATTTGAAATTGTTATCTGAATCAGGATCTTCTAGAAGAGCATTGGTTTGAAGCGCCTCGTCTTGGAATGCTCCTTGTTGATCCACATCATTTGGAATGAGGTGCTTCTGCACATAGTTTATGGCTTCGAGTGCACTGTTCTTGTCGTTTAGCAAGAAGAGGTTGGCAGCCTTGTGCTTGGTGGTGATTAAGACTACAAATTTCAATATTTTTACACTTTCGTAAGAAAGCATGCGAAGTTGACAACCGCGAATTTACATTTTCTCTCTAGGATCCTATGAGACCGGGATTCAAAGCTCAATATAAAACTGATGCTCAATAGGAAAAACTCTCTCTTTTTTAAATGATTTTGAATAGCCTCCTTCAAGAATTTTAAATCTTATCAGGTTTTCTGAGTTGTCCGCACTAGCACGTTTGAATAGTCTAAGCAGTATTTTCTTGACCTATCTCCCTTATTGCATACTCCGCTGACACTAACGGGTTACGGAGTGACACGAATACATAGTTACTGTTAATTATAACTCCCAAGAGGTCAAGGGTTACATTTCACGTACACCCTGTTCAAAAGTGCGTGTGTTCAACAGGACTGAGTGTCCATACTAGTTCAAAGTAGGTGTATTGATTTGCCGCATTTTCTTCCATTCTCATTACCTTGCTTGTCAAGCCTATTAGCCAATGAGACGTTCCTATGATTGGCCAAAGAGTGAGCAAGATTTAATAGATGCAACTGGGGGGGGGTACAAAGAATCCTGTAACCTCGTCTGTATGCACAAGCAGAGGAGTGAGTTGTTGAACAAGAAAATTGTGGTGACTGGTAGTCAGAGCAGAATTCGTATTTTTGCTCTCATTTAATGCTTTACCTTAACATGTTGTTCACCTTCACGTAGACATCCAATTCTATATTTCGTGCTTTCCAAATTTTGTGTCAAATTTCATATAAGCTGGCATTTCTTCTCCAATTTAAATCTACTAATTATGCTTACATTTTCTTGTTGTTTTCTCTCAGTAGTTACTGTTCCCTCTTTCAACCCATAAACCCTTCATCTCAAAAGTATGAAATAAAGGCTGTTCAACTACCTTCCAGTGTGCATTATCTCTCACTCGTTAAACAGTTCGCATTAGACCCATCTAAAATGAATATATGCATAGTTACGAAAAAGGGTATTTATAAGCAAAATGGAACTGCACAGAATCATAGAATGGAATGAATTCATTATATTATGATCTATCTACTCATTAGAAATCTCCCTCCTCCCAGACTACTACGATATCTATATATATTGGGAGATGAAATTCAAATTCAAAATTCAGGGTAATAACGACTATCCTCAACCATGCTTTTAGTCGCTTAACATAGCATCGCCTTTGAGGGCAAAAGGTAGAAAACAGTAGGCCAACGCCCATATTTAGTATAAAATGGTCACAATTATTATAGTTCGCTTAAAAAGTACAATAATAAAGTAAGTTAAATTAGTTCCTAATCATAAAATTTTCAAGAAGTAATGGAAAACTAAAGAAGTAAATTGATTCAGTATATCATGAGCTAAACGATTGTGCGCGCGCGTGCGTGTGTGAGTGAAGTTAGCCACAATCTCTGATGCCACGCGATTGACCCTTTTAGAACACCTAATTGCCACCGAGCGCTTAACTTTTGGGGAAATCGAATTCGAGCAAACTAACACCCTCAAAAACCAGAACAGAAGTATGTTACCAACACACAGACTAACCAGGACAATATAAGTACGAGGAGGACCCTATAAGAAGTTCGGATTCCAAATATTTTCTACTATGCAATCTCATATGGTTGCGTCCTCTCACATTCATACCCTTAATTTTTTCTTGTCCAATTATCTTTCATTTTCATATTTACTTTGCATCCTTTCATATAAACAAGCCTTTTTCTATATATTATTGTTTTTTTTAAATGTTTTTTTAAACCACGCTCCCTGCAAGTGAAGATGATTGAAATCGTTTGTGCAGTTAAAATTATTGCTGAGTACACCCATTGGTACTAATTAAAGTGCATAAAAGCAAATGAGTATGAAGGAGGGAGTAGTTCCTGATGTGAGCGAGGATAAGGAATGTTCAGACCAGCGTTGCATTGTCCAAAGGTATTGCTTGGTTTAAACATTAAGCATTTTGGCACTGAATTTATTTTCAGACTATTTGCGGTTTTGTATATTATATGAATCACCATTTGTAGAACACTTTTCGTAAATTATAAAATATTTGTTTATTTGTTCTTTTTCCGATATCCGACATTTTAACCCCAACGCTCGTTTATCATTTTTAATTGCGTCGCTCATTAAGCGAGGTTCATGCATTAAGGGCATTTAATCAGCGATAAGATTAGTTTCGGAAAGTATTTAAGATGACATCATACATTACCTTAAACAGCATTAAGCATCTTTTTACATCTTCGATCCAATCACACAGTTCCTTAAACATATACTGTAACGCAGATAATTTGTTCATTAAGCTTATTTATTTCCATTAATTACTTGATCTCTAATTACTAAGCATAATGAATACTCTCTAAATGAACATCACCATTGAACACTTAGCCAAATAGTTAATTGGATAATATGGATGCATTTCTATCAATTTTGCTAATTTCTGCTTCCCCATCTTTAACACAATTTTCAATACCACCCAAACAAAAGCTATGAAATGCTATATTAAATTGAAAGCAGAGTTGACAGAAAAGTATTTGACTCTGAATGATTTAAGCTACCTAATTCGAATGGAGATCTAGCTGTTTGTAAAAAGGAATTAACATTTTTTGCCTAATTCCATTAATGAATTAATCTTTTTAGGCACTACTTACTACGATCACAGTTGTCAATTTGACGCCTCAAAGCCGAGTAATCGGTGTCAATGCCGATTGGAATAGACGGATGGTATTGCAGTCCAGGAGTGAGAATCATAAAGTCGTAGGAAATTTCTTGCTTATCATCGATTGTAATCACTTTCCTTTTTCTATGGGGCAAATAGAACTCGAGTAAACTATCACTATCTACTGATCGATTGGACGGTGGAAATAAAGTAATGCCACGCACCTATTGATTGCTGTTAGTGTGCCCAAAATTACGTGCATTATCGTACGCAAAGAGAGTTGACCTAATCGACGACGGTCTTGTTTGAATCTAAAAGTAACAATTTCACAGAAAAGCGTAAACAATGAATTGTCCATTAGTAGAAAGCAAACCTGATCTGAATTTATGAAATAAATTGTGAAGTGAAGAGGTTCAAAGCTTTAGCACGGTAATATATCGTACCTTTCTGGATAGAAAAGGGAAATCAGGGAGTTTTCAGGGCTTTCTGTATCTTCAGGAAGGCCATGAGGAGACAATAACACGAGATTATTGAATCGGATGTGGCGCCTAAAATGGATATGTTGATATTTTAATGACGTGTAGATGACGAGGAAGAAGAAAGAGCGCTATTCGGAGGGTGGTGGGGGGGGGGGGGGGGGAGGGAGAGAAGAAAACGCACGAAAAGGCCAGCTGCTCTAGGAACGCGAGACCTGTTGAGGAAGCACCAACAACGATAATTCTGGCATTAACAACGATTTTGGGTTCCATTAAGAGATTTCTAGTAATCAGATAGACCGCAGGCGGGGGATTATCTAGCTCGCAAGTGAGTGAACTGCTCTGGGGAGCCTTTTCGCTATTGAGCAATTCGGCTGGATAAATTATTTGTTGACGCGGTCGTACGGGGAAGAAATCCGCCAAGCAGGAAAGAGGCGTATTCATTTTTAATCTCTAATTTGAAGGTAAAAAGAAATTTGCTATCAACATTATAATCTATCACATGTTCAAATAAGGGGTGTGCGATAGACTTACCTCCACGTGGTGCACCCTGGGCAATGTATGCTCATACGACCAAAAGTCTATTAACTGGCAGTTGACTTCTGACTTCAAACTACCATCACCCCACTGTATGTCATATTCGACTACATCCACAGTACTCACCTCACCCTTTTTCGGCCTTTGTGTCTGTCTCTTTCAAATTTTTGAAACACTCTTCTGTCCCCCCCCCATCTCGACCTTTTCACTTTAATGTCCCTTCCCATCTGTGAAGCCTGAAGTCAGCTAAATGGCTAATGATAACTATCAAAACGCCTGCCATTTGATATAAATAAATAAATATGATCAAATAATAAGGCTGAAATAAATAGATAAATTAATTAAATCTTTTAATAAGTATGGTTTTGCTTCTATTAAGTTATAAACAGCATACAAGTATATATATATATATATATATATATATATATCCAAGTAAAAGTACTGATAACACCTTAAGCTTGATTATTAAAAGATATTAATATATATCTATTGTATTAGTCTCATTCCACTGTAGCAATCTTTATATATTTACTCTCATAAATGCATCGACACGATAGAATTAAAGGCCAAATGATACTCAAAATACAACAATTGGATGAAATGAGCGTATCGTGTAGAGAAAAAGACAAAAACTAACTAAACTTGAATTTCCTGTTGAGTAAGTATTCCAGAAAAATTTTAAAAACATCAAGGATACATTCATCGGATACAGTGTTTCACAGGTAATATATCTTAATTGAAAGAAGTGGTAATGCAAAATCTTCTTAGCTATACGTTTTCAAATTCTAATCCATTTATTTAATTGTTTATATGTGATGTCAAATTCTCCCAAAATCGGAATGATAGATGACAGTTTCCCCCTTCAGTAACATAACATGGATAATTAAATCAATTTAAAAAACGATCTTAAAATAATCATTAGTTTGAATTGAAGATAGTGTAGTCGGATGGAATATTCTAGATATATAGAAGGAAAATGAACTATATTTTTTCCTGCGCGTTGCTTATACCTCATCTCAGAATGGGTGAAAACCAAAGATCACTCACAGTGTCAGTTGACCACGGTGGATAGACGTAATAGAAGAAGCACGATTTTCCTGCTTGCCGCATCACTTCTCGAATGAACAGCTTGGCTCGAGATTGAGCATTGGAAGAGAGGAGAAAATGTATAATGGTGGCAAATTCCAAACTTCCATGTTGCATAAAGTAGATGTAGTCTTCCAGATCGTAATTCGCCCTCAGCCAGTTTATATTCTAAATCAGTAAAGTTATTACCTCAAGTAATTTGGTAAAACTAGATGAAAAAAACTGGTTGCCTTACTCTCTCAGCACGAGCGAACAGAACTCCTACCACTTTGTCTAAGCAAGTTGTCACATAACAAAATAACGCCGTTCCATCCTATATAATGTCAATATTGCATATATAATCACTCTTACCTGTTCGCTCGCCATTTCCATATATTTTTTTATATTATCCTTAAACAGATTTTGATCAAAGTGATGCATTGATTGAGCCAATTCCAAAATCTCATTAAGATCCCTTCTGGTGGCCAAACGCACTTTAAAGTCGCTAAAAATGTAAGCAGACATAAATGGCAAATACCTGATCAAGTTTGCACGATGATACACGTATAATTCTTGAGTAACAGTAGTTGTAATCCGCGGTTTCACTCTCTTGAAAGAGAAAACAAACACAATATCCTTTTACCACAGATGAAATGTTTAGGACATCTTTTCAGTTATAGTCTTACACAGAACTCCTGCAACAATGAAGTTTCCGGTTCCAAACGTGGCACTGATATAACAGCATAATCAATTTCAGGAAATTGGTCGAACATAAACACCAGGAAATCCCTAGATCTAAAACGAACACAGGCCAATAAAAACCGAAGGAATATATCAAAAATAATATTTTGAGAAAATTGATATATTCGTGCTATCACTTCCATTAAACTATTGTTTAAAAATTATAAAAATAAGGTTGAACTTTCTTATCTTTCAAGATCTATTTAAACTTAAAAGTGGGTAAAGATGGGTTTCTGCATTCTGAAAAACGAAATACTATTTTAAATTTAATTACGGTACTTAAATGAATTAAGTAGTTATAAAGATATAAAGCCAACCGCATCACTAACCGATGATCATATTTAGGAAGCAGACCGTACAGTTGAATTGCAACTGCATTATTGTTTTCAGGAAAGGATGCAATTTCTGACATCTTGGGCGTAAAATCAGTACCGAAACGCCCTTCTAAATGTCTATGTACCCAATTTCCCTCTTTTTGATCCTGAAGTTCTTGAAGTGCTTTATGTTCCAGTTTTTCTTCATCAACTTCTTTTAGTAGGCAATTAAATGCCTGCAAATCATATTGACGATTCAGACATTCACAATCAAAATTTGTGGTCACACTCATAAATCCGACTGCCTTGGAGCTATCGCTAGACTCTAAGACAAAGGCTTTCATTTCGTCATTTTGGGCAGCTACTAACTCTGCAATGTAAAACTCGCCGTAAAGATCTTGAAGAACATTGCTCTTTGAATTGAATATCGGCGTCACATAGTCATTATCCTTAATGCTTATCAGGAAATATTTGTGAAAGATACTCCTACCTTGCTAATCGACAATTCAATGCTGGATCAAAATCTCGTCGTCTAAAGTGGGCAACATCCCACCTAACTTCACACTTTTCATTTTCATTTAGGCAGTATTTGGCATAAATGGGCTTTATGTCATTTGAAATAAAGCTTTTGAATCTAATTCGAAGAATATTTCGATTCGAAGCTTTGTCGGGTTTATCTATTTTAGTCATCACATCAGCATAAACGACTACCATAATTCATATATTCTGGTATTAATAATAAAATGTGATTAACTTCAGAAACCGCCTGGAAACCGGTGCGGATTATATCAACGAGTCCGTATTTCTGATGAGCTTCCTCGACAACAATAAGCTGAATAAATAGCGTGTTCCACCTGTTGATATTTTCAAAATCGAAAACTATTTTTAACCAGTCACTAACATATGGGCCATTGCTAAGAACGACTGGTGGAGTGTCACTTAATATGAGACAGCCAACTATCTGTCCAGCTCTGTCTACAGCAGTAATAGAAACAAGCCCACGTTCACTGCAATATTATTATAATTTTAGTTATATAACTACTTACAATAAGCTATTCAAATTAAATTTGCTTTTGGCATAAATAGGATCATGTGCAATTAATTTTTGAATAGTAATTAAATCTAATGATTCGGTTCTTCGGAAGCGGATAGCTTTCATTCTACTGATATGAAAGATAACATCAATTTATAATTTTGTTTTCGCGGACAGTAAACAATGTTGAACTAAACATCAATGTATCAGCCAATGGGGTCACTATGTTTTTCATTAATTGGTTACTATAAACAAATTATATTATTCAAGCAAAATCTCTCACTTATCTGAACTTAAATGTTTCTTTTTTATTTTAGAATCTATATAAATAGTTTTGGGTAAAAATAAAGAAAAATTCAATTATTTGGCAATGATAAACTCTTTGTTGTTTCTTTTTGAACGATGCACATAATGAGTGATGATAGGTATTACGTGATAAAATAAAAATTATACGACTTTATAAATTAGTTTGCAAGTTCATAAAAGTAAGCACTAGAATGAAAAGGAATCTATGAAATAAAAATAGGAATTACATGGTGGGATTCAAGATGTGAGATTATTAAACGATTTGAAACCTATACTTTAACTGATAAAATTGTGCTTAAAAATACATTTCATTTTGAATTTATTTCAAAAAACGGCCATTTTTGTGTGCAGATTGTTTGAGTTCTATCATGCTGCACTACTTCGAATGAGAACTTTATTCCTGAAAAATTCTCATATCAACGCTAATGGCTCTTCCATTTCACGTATTTCAATAGAATTAAGTTTAAAAGTCATCATAGTTCACACGAATAGTAGTAGTCAAGGTGATATTAGCTGTCATTTATCAGGGTGACTAAGGCCCTAGCGTCAGATGATCACCGTGATATGCTTTTGGTTCAGTCTCTGATTTTATCTCACTATCGATCTGTTTTAATATTACAATAGTGAATTATTTCAATTAAAATAACTTAGAAGTTATGACTCTATTCATTCAAATTAGTGTCTGTTATTGAATTTGATGATATTTCTTTATTTGAGGAGCTAAAATAAATTTCAGCCAAACACCGAGTACCTAGGAATATGTTTGCTCTTATTTTTAAAAAAAGGAAAAAAACAAGATTAGACATTTTATTCAAATGGCTATTAATCTCAGGATATGAAGAATACGAATTCTTAAGAACCTTAAGATAAAACCATAGAATTTGAATTTGGAAATATCGTTAGATAACACTTTTCTGGAATGCCTGTTATATAAATAGTGTGTTTCCGGTCAACTTCAGAATTTAATGGAAGTATGACACCTTGGATCTTTTAGCTTCATTTCAAACCTAATTCCACCTTATATTTTTAGAATAATTTACTTTTCTATGCGTCGGGATTTTATTCCATGACATAAAATAATTCGAATTCGTGAGTTGTTTCGGGCTATAGTGTAAAATATAATAAGTTAAATGAGGTCGTTACTGCTAGGATCGGAAAAAACTGCCCTACGTTGCAGAAAATCAATCAATTTTTTGAAATTTTTTAGAGAGACTGAAAGCTGCTCCAATTTGTCAGCTGATGTCTTTTATTTCACTCATTTACTCCTTCATTTGAACATTTATTTACTTTATCAATCAACACAATGCTTCATTCTCTTGATGCAATCATAAATGACTTAACATGTATATCAATTTGCATTTTCCTTAGTTCTAAAATTAGTCATCTAACTCCCATAAACTCCGTTGTGCGACTTTTGTGGACAATGATGAGATACAAAACGATGTGCCAGAGCTTCCAAAGACAAAGAAATAATCCGGATATTAATTAATCATCACCTTTTATGTCTAGGTGTCGAGACAGCTTTTAGAACCCCATTCCCACCCAGGCTGCGAAACATGTGTGTAAATTATCTTAATTGACGTCCTTAATTACATGCGAAGTAATGGAAGAATTCACCGATTTTATCAGTAGCCGAATAAGTAAGAAGACAGAGAACATCTAAACATCTAAATCTCTCTAATTCTTTCGAAAGATTACCATTCATTAAGACAAAAAATCAAATGCCCCAGTCTTCGCCTTACTACTCTGGCCAATGGAAAAATCTTATTCTCCTATTCGGCTTACTGTCTGGGTGGCGTATGAACCATGATTTTGTGAGATTCCCCTAGATGGATTCAAAAGCTTTATTTTCTTTATAGACCTGTTAATTGTAAATCACTTAAACAATAAAGCGCCAATTACTATACAAATCTTTGTCACGTGAAATATGTCATTGCTGTCAGCCCTGATCCGCCTAGTTCCTTTTTCGATACACCCGACAACACGCGTGGCGCCAGAGTTCGAGAGAGCTCATGTCCCGTGCATATCACAGAAGTTCAACTTCCAGGGTGGGGAAGGGGTAAATATAGCAAAGCAATTCAATTAGAATTAATGGCTTGGTTAATTTGAAAGGAGAGGTGGAAAATGTACATCTCGCCCATTATTGTAAACAAGCGAAAGTTGAACTGAATTTAAGAGTTCTTTTGAATGAATAATAATGGGTAAAAGAGGGATTAAATTTGGGATTGCAATTCTGGTCAATTAACGGATAAACAGGTAACATTTTGAATAGAAATGCATTAAAGCACATAAATTAGTGGAGGTCGTGAAGAGATTAATGAAGCCTACGGTCGTTTTAAATGGTTTCCGCTAATGAAGGCGTCAGCGAATACATTGCAAAGGCTTTCAGTAATTATCAGGTGAATACACGGTGACTATTTATCGACCAACTTCGAGTCCTTCACAGTCGCCAATGTCCCGACCCAACCAAAGTGTAAATCAAATCCCCAACTACCCCCAAAATATGCCACGTTATCAATATAAAGAATTTTGATGGCCGAAATATAGACAGCTGCCAAAGTATATTAACAGTTTAAAAGAAAGTTCGTAACATTAGTATTTTTCATATTTCTGTTGGAGAAAAGCGTTGACAACCACGTACAGAAGACCTACAGGGCCTTGTAATGGTCACATCGAGTCTCAGTCATCAAGTATTTTACTGCGTCAATGACAACTGACTAGACAGACCAATTAGGCATACTTAGTGGCAGTGGGAATTCAGTCTTACTCAAATCTCTGTGTCAATCCCCGAAATACCCATAGAAGTGACAATGAGACATCACAGAACAGGAGTCGGGAAATGCCACTCTTAGGGTATATATAAACATGAAAAAAATAATTCCAAACCCCAGAATTATTCAACAAAACCCAATTCACACCAAATAACAATAAACATCTCGACCCTGCTACAATGCAAAGGTCTGAAACCGCATGGCTATACAAACCGTGCATTTCAATGTGAAGAATGGGGGAAGAGGCAGACTAGTTGGATAAATAAGTTATCCTTCTTTTTTACTCTGCGCACTTATTGGCATATTTCGCGAGGTCAAACATCAAAGTTTTACTCGTTAAAAAGCACTCATGTTTGCTCGCATAAAACCAGCCCCGTGTAAGAAACTCACAAAAAATGTCCTCCCTCAAAAAGTATAGAGCAAAGATACGGTCCAACAAATCGAGTCAACATTATATATATATATATATATATATATATATTGAAGGGATAATTAGCTTATTTTGGAAGTAACCAGGCAAGAAGTCTAGCTATTTCCTTCTGTAATCATCTTCATCATCATCTATTAATGGATATTGCTGTAATTGAGTGCATTAGTTCGTTTTAGGGCAGTTTTTCTCGTAAGAGAAAAGCACAAAAATAGGTACAAAAAGGGTAGTCGAATGCAACCTCTTGAAAATCCTAATGCCTAAAAGTTGTTTTATGATAAAGGAATAAGTCAATTAATTGATAGTATTGCCAGAATTTGATAAAATAGAATAGGAACATATTAGTGCCAGGGCTATTGGAAGTTGGATAATCAATCCCAAAAAGATAGCTTCTCTTGGCGTTAGCTAGACTAACGGTGTATTGTGTAAATTCTCGATATCATAGACTCTTTGCATATGACAATGCGATGAGAAGGTACTGACGACTCGGTTGGAGTGAACCCAAAAATGATCTGCCGGTGGTGACACTCCGTTTCCAATAGATGGGTGCTACGTAAATCATTTTAAAAGAAGATGGTTCAGAAGAACAGGAGGAGAAAGAATGAAAATTCTGAAGAGCCTGAACTTAAAAACTAACTTGACCTGATAACTCTGGAGCGCAGATGGTGCGGGGTACTCCTACATCCTTGAATCTCTCTTATCTAACCTATTCTACGCTTCCCACTTATTCATCTCCATTTGCCTTGTATTTGGATGTCTTCATGTGGTAAAAGTAGTTTGACAGCATGAGAAAAAAATAAGTAGACTTTCCTTTTAACACTCTATTATGAAGCGTCAAAGAATATTGCAGGCTTTTAATCATCGGAGGCGGCTAAGTGTGAGAAATATTGTGGTAGCTTAAATAAACCACAAAGAAGTGTCCGGTTCGAAATGAAAATCTAAACAATGATAGCCAAATACACATTATGTTTTGACTGGATTCGTATTATCGATTTGATTTTATATATATATATATATATATATATATATATATATATAGAAGTCTTCTCGGTTCATCTCCATTGATCAAGACAGATAAGCTGATAATGAAATCGTCGTTCGTCTTTCGTTCTCTAGGCAAGTAAAGAATAATTATTAGAAAATGGCGAGAAATTTGTGAGTGTTAATCAGGGGTCAA